GGAAAATATTGGTTCACTTATTAAATCTTCTGTGTCCAGCAATAATGTTCACTCAAAAAATGCATCTTTAATACATTGGGAATGAAGATTTGATTCATTTCACCAAGTAAAAAGATGTTGGCAGGCAGTGAGATGAATGTGGAACAAATAGTGAAAGAAGGAAGTTATGGTAATCAAATCAACTTAGACTTCAAAACCAAACAAAAAGTTAGACAATAGCAGCAACATTTTGTTTTATGTTGACTAATTTTTTTCTCTTCCTTTTTCCTGTTATATGACATGAGCTATTGATATCTAGCATTTAAATTTAGTTTCAATTGGGAGAATTCCTAAACTGAAAATTGAAATCTCCACTGTCGCTACAGAATTTTGTGTTTTCCTTGTGCTACAGATGTGGGTGGGGTGTGTGTGTGTGTGTGTGTGTGTGTGTGTGTGTGTGACAGAGAGACATACACATAAACAAAGAGAGAAGGAGAGACGGGGAGAGAGAGAGACAGAGAGAGAGAGAGAGAGAGAGAGAGAGAGAGAGAAATTGTGTTCAGATACAAAAGAAGTAAACTCTCTCCAAGTCCATTATCCTCCATTGCTGTCCTACTCTGTCCCTACAGGTAGAACTCTAGAGATTGCAGAAACTGAATTCCCTGGCTCTGTCTTCTAGTTGGGTTTCACCAATTGGAGCCTCCAACAGTAAATTGTAGGATGAGACAAAAAGATGGTGTTATTAATTTCTCCATTTCCTTGATTTGCTGATTTTTTTTAGCAATTTATTTATTTATGCACACAATAACTGGGGTGCAGGCCAGAGGTGTGGGGGGTGAGAGGATTTACCAGAGACAGAGGGGGGAGCAGAACAGGCAGACTGACTGAAATACACTGCTGAGGGGAGCAGCGGGCGAGACAGGAGAGGTCTGCTGCGCCATGTGGGTTGCTCCCTGGCAGGATGGGGATTGAACTCGTGCTGTAGAGGCTGCGGATTGCTTCACAATGTGGTGCTTAACCCCTTGCACAACCAGGGAGGCCCGATTTGCTGAAATTTTTAACAATGGTATATTTTGTACTTATTAGCACTATTCAGATCACCTCTCTACCACAACCATTGTTTTCAGTAACTTCTTATAGCATTCTCTTATTTTATCTTGTCAAACTTATTGTTGGTAACAGCTTTACAGTATTTTTAGAGTCTTCTTGCCTCAGTATACATGGTCCCTTACCCCTACAAACACAAGTATAAATTATTCCTTCTTCAAATTACCCCTTTGTATATCCGTTTTCCTGTCAGGATCTTGACTGATACAGATGAGCACAAAAAGTATTTATAAGTAACTGAGATTTGAGTTGTGGTCTAAAAAATGAGCTGGAGAATGGGAATGTAAAATAGTATGTGCAAAGGATCCATCATGAAGGGAGCTTATTGTGTTAATGGAACTGAAATTTGATGTGGGTATTGTAGCACAGCACAGACTAGAGAGAAATTGGGTTTAGTGACTTGGAAAGAGAAGTCTACAACGAAGACAAAGAGTGACATCGATATAGGAAGAAAGTTGGCAAAATGTATTCTAAAAATCAGTGTTTTAAAGAAAGAAATGAGGTTATCAGTGTTGTTACTCTGGAGAAATCATGAAGATGAGGACTTTTGCTGATATAACATGTGATTTTTTTTCCCCAGAGAAGTATACATATGATTGTTTGTGTGTGTGTATTAAGTGTATGGACTTGCAATTTTTTTTCCTTTACCTAGGATATTAAGCAGATATAAAATGCATCTATAAATATCTAATGGAGAAAAATAAAACAATAACTACCTTTCTATCACCTCTAAGAGATAATCATTAACCTGAGTATTTTTTTTTAATTTCCTTGTGCATTATGTAAGTTAGTATATGTATTCGTTTGCAGTTTGTATATTTCCCTGAATACTATTATTAATTTTATTATTATTTATTGTGATTTACCCATGAAAATGTGCATAACTGTGTTTCATTCTTTTCATTGTTTAATAATCTTCTGTTAAATGAACATATCACTATTATCTGTTTAAATATTGATGTTTATTTGGGTGGTTTCCCCCTTTTTCCATTACAAAAAATGCTATTATTAATATTCTTTCAAAAGTCTTCTGGTATAGATGTACACACATTCCTAGGATGTCTATTCCTATGAGTAGAATAAATGAAATATAGACTGTATATATATTTGACTATACTAGATGAAGCTGAATTATTTATGAAAGTATTTTATCAGCTTACATTCCTATCTGCAATATATAAAAATTTTGGTTGCTTCTAATTACACGAACATATAAATTGTCAGATTAGAGTTATTTTACTGTTCTGATAAAGAGGCAGTGATATGTTTAATTTGTGTACCTCTGTTTTATATAAGATATTCTTTTTTTTTTTTAAGATTTATTTATTCATGCATACAAGAACTGGGGCAGAGGCCAGATGTGCAGGAGGTTGAGAGGATTCACCAGAGACAGAGGGGGGAACAGTACAGACAGACTGACTGAAATACACTGCTGAGGGGAGCAGCAGGTGAGGCATGTCAGGTCTACCGCACCATGTGGGTTGCTCCCCTGCTGGCCAGGATCGAACCCACGCCTCAGAGGTTGCAAACAGCTTCACAGCACTGTGCCCAACTGCCTACACAGCCCAGAAGGCCCTAATTTGTGTACTTTTTATTACAAATATCGCCGAGTATCTTTTCATGTTCTTTCCCATGCAACCTAGAATGTGCTTTGAATTTCCAAGTTTTCTAGTAATTTGTTATTGATCTTTTAAAAAATTTTATTATTTATTTATTTATTTATTTATTTATTTGTACGAGCACTGAGTACAGTCAGAAGAACCAGAGGGGAGAGAATTCACAAGAGCCAGAGCCGGGAACAGAACAGACAGACTGACGAAATACACTGCTGAGGGGAGCAGCAGGCATGGCAGGAGAGGTCTGTCGTGCCATGTGGGACCCTCGCCGGTGGCCGGGAATCGAACTGGCGCTGCAGAGGCTGCAGGCAGCCTCGCAGCCCAGTGCTCAACCGCTGCGCCACCAGGGGAGGCCCTGTTGCTGATTTTTAATTAATTTTATTTTAGTGCACTAAATGCCCTTTCCTTCAGTGTGAAAGCAAGTGTTTATAATGGCCCAGAAGGTTCCATGTAATCTGAACTTCATCATCTCTATAATTTCCTGTTACTCTCCACTTGGCTTGTTCTTTTTCAGCCACAGAACGAGTGGCCTCCAGGCTGCTTTTAAACATTCAGGAGTATTTTCTTTTTTTTTTTTTTTTCAAGATTTATTTATTTATGCATACAAGATCCTGGGTGGGGGCTGTGAGAGGATTTACCAGATACAGAGTGGGGAGCAGAACAGGCATATTGGCTGAAAAACACTGATGAGGGGAGCTACGGACCAGACAGGAAAGTCTGCTGCACCATGTGGGTCACCTCCCTGGCCTTGAACTCATGCTGAAGTAGCTGCAGATAGTGTTATATTGCTGATGCTTAATCCCTTGAGCCACCAGGGAGGCCCTCAGATGTATTTCACCTTAAGTATTTTGTATTGTCTATTAAGGAAGATGCCCACTATCCTATCATATGAACAATGGGACATCTCACAAATTTTATTACAAAAGTTGGCAAGTGAACCAAGAAACTGAGGAATGAAACAAAATCTACATTATATTATTTATGTGGCATTTTTTCAGGAGCCATACCTGATAAATATGTGTATTGTTGATTTTTCTATGAGCAATTCTAAACATAGACTATGCTGCTAAATGCATTATATAAATAAAGATAAATAGCTAAGAATCATTAATCTTTTTGCAAGAAAGTTCAGTAAGTAACATTCACCATCAAATAAACCCAATTTAACATTTCTATTTCTTTGGAGTGTGGCACTAGTAATGGGAAAAGAATGAACCACAAGCAAGCTAGTCGACTCCTTGCTCCTCATTACCCTTCTAGTTGTATTATCTCTCAGGCACAGTGGATCTTCTCTATGACCTAGACAGAAAAAAAAAAAGTGAATTTCATTATTGTCTATAACCTACTCTTTCAAGAAATATGTGTTTTAATTAATTAATGAATTAATTAATTGATTAAATTTGCAGTAGAATGGGAGTCTCATATTGGCAGGGTTTCCTTCTCTCCATAACATACTTGTTTATCTCCTTAGTTCGTATTCCCCAATTTTAATGGATTCTGGTGCTGTTTCTAAGAACTTCACTCAATCTTTTGGAAGAAGGGGAGTGGAAGACTTGCACTCTTTCAGTTTATTTCTATTGCTGGAGTTTGTCTTTTTCTAGAGGCTAATCATTAAAGTCCACAATGTACTATTCGGCCTATAGTCTACTTTTGGAGTGTATACAATATTTTTTTTCCTGTATTTACTACTGCTTTTTTTTTTCTCTTTCAATATACTTCCTCCACCTCTGTGATGATCATGAAGAAGGAGGGGTTATCTGGAAAGTGGAGAGTCTAGTAATCCTGTATATATGCCGCTTTTTTCCCAGTAAACCTCTATCGGTTTTAAATATCTATGAATAGTGGTTTTACTTTAGTAGTATTTCAAACCATCTTAAATATCTGGAAGTGAATTCACATGCAGATACAAATTTATGAGGACACTTGTCAGTGCCATTCCATTTATTTATTTTCTTTTCCCCATGATGTGTAAATATTACTGTCAGTGGTTTTTATGTCTGTGCTTATAGAATTTGTAGTGTGCCTGTTTGTATTCATCTTTATCATTATAAAGATGCTTTAAAATTTTTTGTAAGTTACAAGATCCTTTCATTTCAAGGGATTATAGAATAAAAATACTCAGTTGTTTTCTAAATCACCAATATTTAATACTTGACATTATTTAAAGCTATATCTATTGATTATATAGATAAATATCAAACACATTTGCCTCAAAAATATGTGGTTCTGCATGTGAAGAGAATATATTGTAATTTATATTCTAGGTTTTATTAATTGTTCACATGTTTAATTTTACAGACTCATTGGAAGAATGTGAAGTACAAACTAATCTGAAAATTTGGAGAGAACCACTTAAGATTGAATTTAAAGAAGACAGTCTATCCTATATGGAAAAATTATGGCTTAAAAAGCACAGAAGGTATTTTTTTGTATCTGTGCATTATTAATAACAAATATAAAGCTATTAATGTCCCTTGTTGTTTGACATGTTTTTGTAGCATTTTTCTTTGGGCTTCAAATATATATAAATGATTTTAAAAGCAACCTTAAATCCCTGTGAAGCTTCTACTGTTCTAATAATAATTTTAAATCTATTTATGTATATGATGCATCGTTGATTTAGGGTTTGCCTTGAGAAATGGGGATATGTGTATGAAAAAAAAAAGACATGAGTATAGGACATAATTTAAGGATAACTGCAAATATAATAAATTAAAAATAACTTTGAAAAGGTATTGTGGTCAGTTTTTTACATTAGCTTAAACTTTTGTGGCTTTGCTTTAGAGAATCTAAAGTTGTTAAGACCTTTAATGTTATAGTCTTATTAATATTAAAATATATTTATTCAAACACCGTATCGTTTATGCCATTCATAAATCAGGTAAAATTTAAACTATTAAATATTAAAGCAAAATTATGTCATTTCTTAAAGAGTCATTCATAAATTTACTATCATAAAAGAATGATATTGGGAAATACATTGATTGGCCATCACCCGGTTTCCCTGTAGGCATGCTGCTCATGTCATTGTGCCAGTGAATCATCTAGAGACTATTGTAAAATAGTTACCTTTTTAGGGGATATGAGAGTGGGATGGGGAGAGTTTTGATGTTACATTGCTGAATTTCTAACATGTCAGGTGATAGTGGTATCTAGAATGCCAATCTCTGAGCCACATTTTGAGGACCACATTTTAAGGTGTGAGAGACATGTCTAGAATGAACCTAAGGAAAGGTCATCAAGCCCTTGCTTCATCTTCAGTCATACAAAGATCTGCTGAGGTGGCCCACCACCTTTGGAGCATTCTCCAAACCATTTCCAGTGAGCTGTAATTTATTTCTGTGTATTTTCTAAACTGTTTTTCTAATTCTGCCCATTAAGCCAATACAGCAAAATTAAATATCTCCTCCCCATGCCATTACTTCAGAATTTTGAAATTAGTCTTTGTTTCCATTGAAGCTTCTCTTTGATAGGATGATATATCTTGGTTCACTTCTTTTCAACTCATTTTCATGAGGCAGGTTTTTAAATTTTAAAATAATTTTAGATATAGTACAAGAACTCCCATAATTGTAGCATCTTACATAATCAGAGTTCATTTATCAAAGCTAAGAAATTGACAGTGGTACAATGTTTTTTACCAAAGGAGAAACTTTATTTAGATTTCACCAGTTTTTCCACTAAGATCTTTTTTCTGCTCCAAGAGCTTACCCAAGATATCACATACCATTTTTTGGGGGTGGAGGGTTATATCTCCTTATCCATTATAATTATTTAGTTTCTCCTTGTCTTTCATCACCATGATGTTTTTTGGAGAGTAATCACCAGGTGTTTAATATAATGTATTCTATTTGAATCTATAGATTTTTTTCCATAATAAAATTGAGAATTATACATTTCATGGAAGAATAGCATAGAAAGGATGTGTCCTTTTCAGTGGCTGATATCCCAGAAACCTATCAGTATACCTCATTACTAGAATAGCAACATTTTTCAATTAATTAATTTTTGATTAACTAATTTTTAACTGACTTAATATTGGGATACCACCATAATCTATTACCACCACAGTGCACCCCACTACCAACTAACTCACCTTCCACCACCATAGACCATTGTTTTTACCCTTCTCCCACCGCTTGGTGTTTCTGTAGGCTTAGTTCTTTTTTTTTTTTTTTTTTTTTTTGTGGGACCCTCGCTGGCGGCCAGGGAACGAATGGGTGCTGCAGAGGCTGTGGGCAGCCTCAACCACTGCGCCACCAGGGGAGGCCCTGTAGGCTTAGTTCTATAGGGTTAGTATTAAAGTTTGTCTTTATCTGACTACTTACTTACTTTATATTCCACATATTAGTGAAACTATCTAGTATTTATCTTCCTTATTCTAACTTATAACATTTCTCTACTGGTGTGAGATGGTAGGCCATTGTGGTTTTGATTTGTATTTCTCTAATATTTGTGAACTGGTTTTTTTCCATATGTCTGCTGACCAATCTAATGTCTTCTTTGGAAAAGTGACTGTTTAGCTCTTTGGCCCAAATTTCGATTGGGCTATTTGTTTTCTTTTTGTAGAGTTTTATGATTTCGTTACATACCTTTTATATCACGCCTTTGTTAGATATATGGTGTGCAGTATTTTCTCACATCCAGTGGGGTGTCTTTTCATTTTAGTTATAGTTTCTTTTATAGTACAGAAATGTTTTACTTTGAGGTAGTCCCAGTTATTTGTGTTTCTTTTTTTCTCCTTGCTGTAGGGAATGAATCCATAAATTCATCACTAAAGCTTATGCCATGAAGTCTTTTGCCTATGTTTTCTTTTATATATGGTATGGTTTCAGGTTTTGCATATATATTTTGATCCATTTAGTGTTGATTTTGGCATTCGGTGTGAAGTTGTGGACTGATTTCATTCCTTTGATGCAGCTGTCAGATTTCCCAACACAATTTATTGAAGAGACTATTTTTGTTTCAGTATGTATTTTGTTTCCTTTGTCATAGATTAAAGTCCACATATGTGGACTCTGAATTCTATATCATTGGTCTGTATGTACTTTTTTGTTCCAGTACAAGGCTGTTTTATTTATTGTGCCTTTATAATATAGCTTGAGGTCTGAAAGAGTGATACTGCCATATTCTTTCTTCTCTGTCAAGATTGCTTTACTAATTACCAAATATTGTGTTTTCATATGAAATTCAGTAATATTTGAAATATGTCATTGATACTTTTATTGAGATTGCTTTCAATCTGTACATGGCTTTGAGTAGAATGTCCATTTTGGTAATATTGATTGTTCTAATCCATGAGCAGGCGATATCATTTTCCACTCCTTTGTGTCTTCTTTTTTCTTTCAACAATGTTTTAAAACTATTGTTATTTTTTATATGGATATTTTACCTCTGTTAAGTATACTCTGAGGTATTTCCATTTTTGTGTGTGTGTAATTATACATGGGATCACTTTCAAATTTCTTCCTCTTCTGTTTATTTTTTTATTATTATTATGGGAAGGAAACGGATTTATGTGTGTTGATTTTATAACTAGCCATTTTACTAAACTAATTGTTTCAATTAGTTTTTCTGTGGACTTTTGAGGGTTCCCTATCTATATTACCATGTCATGTCATCTGTAAATAATGATAGTTTAATTCTTATTTCCCAATCTGGATTCCTTTTATATTGTTCTCTTGCCTAATTGTTCTAGCTAGAACTTCCAGTACTATATTAAAAGCAGTGGTGAGAGTGGATTTCCTTGTCTTATTTCAGATTTTAATGGGGAGGCTTTCAGTTTTTCACCATTAAGAACGATATTAGCTGTGGGTTTGTTTTATAGGACTTTTATTATGTTAAGATATATCCTTTTATCCTGAATATTTTAAGAGCTTCATCATAAATGGATATTAACCTTTATCAAATGCTTTCTCAGCATGTATTGATATGATCATATGGTCTTTACTTTTCTTTTTATTGATGTAGTGAATTACATTAATTAATTTTGAGATTTTGAACCATCCTGTGTCCCTGGAATAAATTCCACTTGGTCATGGAGTATAATTCTTTTGATGCATTGTTGATTTCAGTGTGCTAAGAATTGAATATTTTTATATTTGTGTTGATATGGGAGATTGTTCTGTAGTTTTCTTTTTTGTGTGTTGACTTTGATTTTAGTATTGTGTAATGTTGACTTCATGAAATGTATTTAGTAGTATTCCTTCTTTTTAAATTTTGTGGAAGTTACTTGTGAAGCCATCTGGTCCCAGACATTTGTTTTTTGAGAAAGTTTTGATTACTGTTTTAATTTTCTTGCTTGTGATTGCTTTGTTTAGGGTTTGAATTTCTTCCCTATTCAGTCTCAGATGATTGCATAATTCTAAGAATTTGTCTGTCTCTTCTAAATTATTGAATTTGTCAGCATATTAATGCTCATAGTGGTATCTAATTAGCCTATGAAGTTCTGCAGCATCTGTTATGATTTCTCTTTTGTTTTTTATTATATTTATTTCCAATATCTCCTTTATTTTCCTGTTTCCAGCCTTGCTAGAAGTTTGTCCTTTTTTTTTTTTTTCAAAGAACCAGCTTTGGATTTCATGGATCTTTTGGACTATCTATTGAATCACTATTTAATTTACTTCTGATTTTATTTTTATTATTTCTGTTCTTCCACTGGCTTGTGAATTTGCTTGTTCTTGTTTTTATAATTCATCTAGTAGAGAGAGAAATTGTTTATTTGAACTCTTTCTTGTTGTTTATTTGAACTCTTTCTTGTTGCAGTGGGCCTCTATTGCTATATATTATTTCCCTCTTGGTTCTGGTTTTGCTACATCCCATAAGTTGTGAATGGTTTTGTGTGCTCAGTTTCATTTGTTTTGAGCTATCTTTCAATTTATTCTTCAATTTCCTTATTAACCCAGTGTTCTTTCAGTATTGATGTTCAGTCTCCATGTATTAATAGATCTCCCTGCTTTCCTTGTGATAGTTGATTAATAGTTTGATGCAATTATGATCTGAGAAGATGTTGGGTATGATTTCAATCTTTGTGAAATCTTAGATATTTGTTTTGTGTCCTAGAATGTGGTCAATTTTGGAGAATATCCCTAGTATGCTTGAGAAAAATGTGTAATACTGCTTTTTCAGGATGCCATATCCTGTATATCTATGAAGTCTATTTCTTTATTTAAAGCTATTGTATCCTTGCTTATTTTCTGTCTAATTTATCTGTCCATTGGTGAGAGTGGGATATTGAAGTTTCCTAATAAAAATGTGTTTTTCCCAATGTTTGCTTTCAGAGTTGATAGTAATTGCCTAATGCATTTTGTTGTTTCTTCATTTCCTGCATATACATTGTTGAGTTTTTATGTGTTCATGATGTATCATTCCCTAAATCATTACATAGTGTCCCTTCTTGGCTCTTAGCTACTTTATCTG